ATCTGATGCCCCAAGAACTTCTAACCCTCGTGGGTCTAACAGGAAAATATATACTTTTTCCATTTTAGCATTTTTATGAATATTAATTCCCTCACTCCTCCTCTTTTCTTTGTGTGAAGAGAATTACTCAGGTTTCAACCAGTTATAACAGTGGTTTAGTCTCAGTGGGGGAAGGCGACAGTTCTTAGGATTTATAGCCACAGTTCCTCCAGCAAGGCTGACAGTGGTGCAGAAAGGAGAGCTTGTGGTTACATTCCAGCTCGCAGCAAGATGACCTTTAACCCATTCGTCTGTACTGCAGCATGAAGCAGATTCGGTGCCTGGCACCATTTGGCCCTTTGTTTAATTTCTGCAGCTTGATCTGATGTTGGTCTCTGTTGATGAAAGTTGTCATAAGCTTCGTCGGCAGGGTGATGAGACATACGATTTTGATGCTTGTCCATCCCAGGTGTCAATAGGATCACACTCCTGCAATCTTGAAATGAAGGAGTGAGGTTTTGGCTCAAGTTTCCACAATGCAGCTCTCTCAACAGTAACCATCCACTTCACCACTCACAAGGAGAACAAACACGTTCCAGTTAAAAACAGAAGGTGAGGTAGCTTACCCTCCAATGTTCCTCACTACCTTCATCATCATCATCATCGTCATCATCATCTCATGGCTCAGCTTTGACAAAGATAAGCACGTTAACCCAACTCATTAAGGACGGCTGTGGCGGAGTGGTTAGGGGAGATGTCCTGGAACTGGAAGATCGCCGGTTCCCCCCGTCCAGCCATTTCAGTTGTTGTGTCTTTGGGCAAGACACCTTACCTGCCTTGCCTACTGATGGTGGTCAGAGAGTCCGGTGGTGCCAGTGCATGGCAGCCCCACCTCTGTCAGTGCTGTGGCTACAATGTAGCTTACCATCATCAGTGTGTGAATGGGTGAAGGTCTGTAAGTGTAAAGTGCTTTGGGGTTCAGAGGGATGATAAAGCGCTATATAAGTTCAGTCCATTTAAGTTCAGCCCCTGGATGATTTTTAATAAGAATTACAGAAAGTAAACACTTAATGTTCATCTATAGCTGATTAACTTTTGCAATCAACCCAATTCAAAATAGTTGCAACAGACCTTAGGAGCTTTTATTCAGAAATATTGTTTGATATTATATTGTTGTTTAAAATAACAATGATTTTGTTATCGCAAATCCTTCCTCCCTGCAGCTGTCAGACTCTATAACCAGAACCCCACCCAAAAACCACAACAAGTGTTTACAAAAATCACAATAAGTGTTTACACACCTGCTGCTGCTGCACAATCATTTGTACTGTTTTCATTACCCATGTGAACAATCATTTTGCACTACTACTTATCTGTATTACTAATCTGAGCAACCACTTACTCTGTTATTACCCATTTTAAACTTTAAAATAATTCTGCTGTTTTTGCACATCTTTGTTTATTGCCTGCACTGTTAAACTTTACGGTTAATAGTCTGTTATGATTGTTTTGCACTGAAAATAGGCAAAATCTAATTCCTAATGTCAAATCATATAAGCAATTGTCTCTAAAAAACATATCTTTCTTTATTCCTGCACAATCCTTTATATTATATTTTTATTAATAGTAGTATCATTGCTAGTTAGTGGCCATTTCGTTTTTGGGCATTGTCTATATTTTGTAAACTAGTGTGTGAACCTCTGTACTTATGCTGCTGTGACACCTGTATTTCCCGTCGGCGGGACAATAAAGATTATTTCTATTCTATTTTCTAAACAGCAGTTGCAGTTTTGGAACAAGAAGGTTCTGGGTTTAAAACTTGACTAAGGTTTTGGTGATTTCTCCCTGTGTGTGTGGATTTTTTTCTTCTTCAGGTTTCCTCCTGCAGTCCAAAAATATGCACGTTATTGGCAGTTAATTTGACCAGAGGTCTGAGCTCACGTGTGAGTATGTGACTGATACCACACTATTTCCTGATCCCCTGTATGTATTTTATTGAAACATAAAAAGTAAACATCCGGTGTAAAATATGGAGATTAACGTTTGGAGTCAATCCATTTCAAGATGATCACCTGTGTAAAGAACCCTGCTTTATGAGACTAATACCAGCTTAATCTCATAAAACTCATGTTCCACAAGATCTTGCAGAAATGAAATCAGAATCATGAAACACCCCTCTGGTCATGAATGTGAAAAGAACTTGTCAGATTTCTCAAAATAAAGTAATTTATTTTAGATATATGACAAGAATAAACATACAAACATTTCTTAAATATTATATGAGTAAAACACAAGTTATAATTTTCATAAAAATTTCACTCAGAGTTGACAAAAACAGTAAGTTTCGATGTGTTGCAACCTACTGGCACCTACTTGACTAAGTTTTAAGTAAATAAGAGAAAAAGATAAAAGATTTAGGCTTTAAGAATAGGAGGAAGAGAAATTAGTAATTTTAGACTTGTTCTCAACAAGTCAAACCAGACCAGCACATCAGCATGTCAGAGACTCGGACACCTCCGGGGGCTAGACTTCACCTCCGACTTTTTATCTCAACAAGCGTCGTCTTTTACCTTTGATGTCTTGTCAAAGACAGCAGGTGGACGGTTTGGAGATTGTCAGGATTGAGTCCGCCAGTGGATAATGTCGCCTCGTGACAGAACAGGAGGGAGATGCCTCTTCCCTCCACCATGAGCCTCAGCGGGCTCGTTCCAGGCTGGAACCAGTCAGGCGCTTTTCTGCATGTTAGTCATCCACGCAGGTGTCCAAAGATGGACTTCACTTTTCAGGGAAAGACAAAAACCATCCTCTCAGGCACACAGACGA